CCCGTAGAACACCGCACCTTCGTAGTCATCCCCACCCGTCGGTCTATTCATCTTGTCCACTTGCAACCGAGTAATGGGACCTTATGCCAATTAGATTGTTTGATCAAAGCACGATTAGAGAATTGTTTGGTTGACTGCCTTCTCTCAGCTGCTTGTTTGTCTGCACGTTCGTTTATTTGTGTGTATGTCCGTGTGTATGCTTGAGAGAGCAGACCAAAGAGTCATTAATATTAGTCGCAAGGCCCCCCCCCCCCCCCCCGCGCTTGGAAACCTCTGAAAAAGCAATAGAATTGTTCGTACTCTCATTTTTCCAATCAACTAAAATTCTCACTTTGACACACACACACACACACACAAATCTGAGATTTGAATCCTCGGGTGAAACGAAAAAGCTCTTGGTGGAAACTGTATCTGAGACGGACGCCTTTGTTTTAAATACGATCGGATAGTAATTTACGTCTTCACGCAATTGCATCTTCCCCCTCTCTCTCTCACCAATTTTTCGCTCCTCTTACCCAAGCACCACCACCTTTATTTTGTTCTTATTGTGGAAATCAATTTCTTTCACATTGAGACTGGGACCGCAAGTGACCAATTTAATTGCTTGCCTCGTCGATGAGGTGTTCGGTGTCGGTCTTCTCCCTTCAGGCTTCTTGAGCTTCATTACTGCTAAGACCACAAACGAAATGCAAGCATTCGGGCTAATTGCCACACCGTCAACAATTGTTGGCAACTGGAATGTGGCGAAATTAAACACGCATTGTCGAACGGACAGGTTTGTGGAGGTGGGCGAGAGCTTGATGAAAGAATGGGGATTGGGTTAACCTGAAATCTATCTTTGCTTAGAGTGGTCGTTTTTTAAGACCACTATCAGTCATATCGCCACCACTGTCTTTCCGTATTTGACTGTCTCACTGTGCTGTGCTAGTGCAACTTTATACTATATACCTTCGTAGTCCTTAGTCATCAAACCACTGCAGCGTTTTTCTTACTGTGAATTCGTCTGGAGCTTTACTTTACCTAATTGCTTGTGGTTTATGGGTACTTCTAGAATGAAATGAATACATTGGCTAGTTCCAGTTAGTTAGAATGTTAATCTGATCTTATCGCCTAGTCCTCATTTTCCCGATTTGATGAAAAATACTATGGGACTAAGTTGCACAGTCCTTTATTTGTTCCCTGGTGTTACTATGGATATGTTCACATTCCCAATTTCGATCAACTCTATCTCACTGAATTTCACGTTCTGTTGGCATTTTTTCCTGCACTCAGGTTTGTGCACCAGTCTGTTGAGACAAACGTTCGGTGAACAAATGTTCACATGCATCATGGAAACGGACACCGTGTTCCCTATCCAAGTAAGTTTTTCATTCACAACTAATAATCTGATTATGCCAATTACTCATGGATATAAAAATATCTCAAATTGATTAGTCTGGAAACCATTTTATCCAAGTCGATCCTAGAGCTTTTTTTTAACTTGTCTTGATCAGGTGCGCCAGAAGTGATTGCCATGTAGGTTTCCTATTTACATTGGGCGCCGTCGGCCACTAGTTCGTCTTACACCAGATCTTTAAACATAATTCTTATACTTGATTTACTTAAAGTATTACTATGCCCTCTAGTTTGAGGGTACCCGAATTGCACCATTCTGTGCAGGGTGTCTGCGCTGGTCTGAATAACCAAAACCTTGAAAATTCTGGTTATCGCCTTTCGTCTATCCATTTGATCTACCCATGCCTAAGGAGTAAAATCAATGAAATCATGCAGATGTTTAGATTAAGGGAGACAGACAGTAAGAAATCTACTCCGGGTTCATGTGTCTCTGAATCGATTTCTGCAATCTAGTTCCTTTTTTCTCCACCTCCCCCTTCCCTACCCGATCGCCTAGACGGAAAGTCACAGTGCATTTGATATCAACAATAGAAGAAGTTAGCGTTAAAATTTGAAGATTAAACAGATTATATAATGTTCGATGACAGGTGTTGAATCAACATTCTCCCAGGATTACCATGATGCAAACATTGGGTGTATGGATGAGATTCCGTTGTCGAATTCATCCAAAAGTGCCTCTAAACGTTTACCGGTTCATAATCAGTTAGTTTTCGCTTACGTGCTTTGCTCCGCAACCTTTTTGGGCTAGTGTTTTCGAGGATGCTAAACCAAATTCATCTCGTCTCCCTCTCTCCTGGCTGGCTTGATACGGCCTAATATGAAACATAAATCTCATTCTGCAGTGCAAGTGGGAACAGTTGTGTCGAAGTGCACACACTGAAAATTATGTTTTTGGGCACATTGCTCGTTGTGCATTTGCTCCCCTCATCCCTGGGCTGTATCTCGTCGGTTGGCCACAATATATCACACGTCGTTACGCTCGAGCATCTCAAGCATGTGTGTGAGAGGGAGATCCTTCAAGTGCGCTTGATACATCATGTTCGAACTCCATTAAGGTGGGACCTGTTCGCATATCGAGCGATCTTATCTGGCATCAGCCATCCTTCGGTTTACGCTTGTCTCCCGTCAGCCCACTTGCAATTTCAGTGCTTAAGCTGACATGTGTCCCTTACCCTGTTTATCGGACTGCTGACGTAGCCCAGACATTGCGTTAGTGGTTATCTTCGTTCCTCAGATCTAACGAACTCCGATTTAGTCTCCTCATGTGCAGCATGTGAGGCGAATTGACTGAGGTTAACACTGACTGTTTTATACCGGCTCTGTTTGTATTTCACTTTTGACAAATCATATTGCTTCAGGCCCCCTTGTGTAAAAAGATACCAAAAGGTACGTTCCGGTTTCCAGACGTAGTCTAAAAGACCGCTACATACAATCCCACGTAATGTACCCCGTCAACAATCCTTGTTTGTGTTCATCCTGTGCAACCCAACTTTCCCATCAAGTACCAATTAGAAACTGGCTCCCACTTGATTGTCTGGTACGTTATACCCCGTGACCTTTGGCATTTGGATCACGTGATTGTCTGATTGTGATCCGTTGTTTCCTGTGCCTTCTGGTTATCCCGAGCCCGGGGAACTTAACGGTCAGAATGGGAATCTTTTCCGTTTATGAAAGAATTATTTATCTTTACTCTGGAAGTCTTATCCATTGATCAGCCGATTGAGTAGCGTTTTTAGATCAGTGCATGCTTGTCTAACCTTATAGGTTGTAATACTCAACACCGAGTGAGAAACTTGCGAACAAGAAGGAGTATTTGAAACGTCTTCCGATTGTCACTAGCTATTTATCTATCCCACAAAGTTGCTTCAAATCGGATAAAACTATCTGTCCAATCGTCGAATCGCCCATACAGAACTCGGTCATGTCATGCACAATCTTCGGATTAAAAAAAAGCAGATTGAACATTGCCAAGAACTAATTATAGACCGCGAAACACGTTTTGGGTCACCCGTTTTGCTCGCTTTTCCTTCTGTATGTCTCCGCTGCAGTTTTATGTAGAATATTGCGATTTCAAACGTTTGTTGAATAACATTTATTCACTGGATTCACAAATAGAACTAAACTAAACTGGATTAGAACCCCTAATATTGTTGATTTCATCCAGGGCCGCTTCCTCATCTGGGTGTCTTTCAAAGGCTTTTTTCACTTGCTATACTCGTCTAACATTGAAATCGAGTTTATCAGAATAGTTTAACTTCAGGATAATTTTAATCTGATTGGAAGCTGTCCTCCGCAATCTTATTTCTATCTTTGACATTTTTGATTATGCCGTTTGTCTTCTTAATACTGTACGGAGACGGAATGGCCAGAAACTTATTCACAGTGGTCTTTGGGCGATACATTATTGTTACTATTTCGTGCAGCACCTTGGTTGGCCAAACTTTGTCCTTTCTACCACATCGATATCGTGATGTTCTTCGTTTTACTAACCTGAACCATACAACGACCATCAGTGAGTCGACGTGGACACTAATTGGCTGAATTTGTTAATTCTAATCAAGTTGCTGTTAGGTCACAGAACAGTGATCAGCGGAATCAATGAAGTGGTCCTAAATGGGTTTCACATCCCATACTTGCCTAGAACACAATGCACCGTATACAAACCGACATTGCATGACCACTCGTCCAAGGTTCGTGGTTTCCCAAACAGTTCAATTTAAGCAGGATTTAACGAAAGATAAAGTAATTTGTATGAAAGCGCGGTTTAGCAAACAAACTTATTTTCGGTGACTCATCAACTGGCTAATACGTCATATTTCATATAGCATCATTTTGATTAGAAAAGAGGAAACAAAATTAGTGGTTATTCAAATAGGAATTGTTGTTGTTGTTTTCTGTCTCATATTCACAAAACCGGATATGTCTGATCCTACCATCGGAACTTACTCTTGGTCGGTGTTACTTGTGTTATTTAGATCGGGATTGGGAAGGAGAGGATGGGGATGTGGATGAGGATGGGAGGTGGAGGGCCAAGGGAGGTGAACGAGTGACTTCACAAACTGGTTCTGGGCGCACAAGGGAGGATTTTGTAGACCAGTTCCAACCGCCTCTGCGGTGGCTAGGATGCGGTTTTTAATCGGCTTTGATCTGCGACCCCGAACATGATAGAGGGATCGAAACGCTCCAGTCACACTCACTGTGTGATCGGACTTGTAATAGTTTTAACCACACCAGAGTAATTTGTTCTGGGCAGCGCGGATTTTATTTTTGGCAACCTATGGTTCGGTTTTTGCAATATCTAATTTCGTTTTGGTCAACTGTGGATTAAAGTGTTTATAATTTCCTCCCTGCCCTGAGTGTTATCAACACAACCCAATCGACTGATCGCATCAGTTCTCCCTACAACTGACATTACACATTGAGAAGTTCTCCCTGGCACCATATCCCACCGTATGTACTATTCAATCCATAATGTCGTTGCGTGTTGCTCTATGTATGAAAATCTTATCGGCTTGGTATATACTTCGGTAGAATGTATGTTTTATACCTTCCGTCCTTTGTTATGGTTCAATGTGCAAGTTCGAACTTTATGTCTTCAATCGCCTATGATTCAGGTGCAGGACCTCTCTTTGACACGTCGTTTTCAAGACTATCTCATCCATATGGTCACTCGACGAGTTAGCAACCGGTCATTGGATCAAATGAGCACTCCGGCACACTCGGATCACGTAGTTGATCAGTCATCGAAGTCACAAATGAACATTGAGCAAGAAATCAGGCCCAACGAATCGAGTGACAGGGAAGTAGAGGAAGACGTTTTGTCCATGGCCAGCGAAGCCAATATCTCGACTAGTGATATCTTTTCCCAGCGGTGCACTGTAATCGCAGCGTCCCCGTCGAAACGCCGTGCAGTTTTGGGGGCCAAATCAGGCGGTTCGGCACTTGAAGTGGATTCCAGTTTCAATGTTGGATCGGAACGCACCGTTTCCTTCGTGTTTCCCGAACATTTTCACCACACCCAACAAAGGCCGGTTCCCGATCCGATCGCGTTCATCCACATTGATATGCCTCTTTTTCCTCTCTCGGCATTTGCTCCGTCCACTAGTCGGCATTTACCACTACCGCTTCGGTAAGTAATGTCCCCTCTTTAAACACATTCGAATTCGAAGCGTGTAATTTTGTTGAAATCCGTTTTCGGCTTACATTCTTGTTCCTTTGAAGTGAACTAGCTAGGCATCATCTGTGTTCCCGGTGTAACTACACAGTTGGGTCTATGATTTGGCTCAGCTGATGTTATCAGAAAACATTGAAACAGCTGTACAATGCTGTTCAACTTTTTGGTTCACGTTTATCTTTCTCTACATACAACAAATTTCAATTCTTTTAGACTTTTGTCACTTCTATATTGGCCTATGTATTTATTGATGTTTGTTTATCAGTTACACGTACTCACCCCACATCAGTATATCTACAGAAATAGTTTTCCATGCGTAGAATTTTTCCCCTGAGGCGATGAATACCTCAGTGTCTCGTATGAATAGCTTCACACAATGCTATTCCCGCTGTGTGCAACAGTTGAAATGAATGGGGATCGTCTTATGTATTCTGATACTATGAATGAAAAATGGTGGCCTCACCGTAAGAAAACAGGTAAAAAAAATACTAAGTTCTTCTGCTAGCTCCACGGAAGATGACATTCTGAACTTGGCCCTATCGGGTGTTCCTAACTGTGCCGTTGAACTTCTTCCAGGTAGCAAACTGCCTACCCCGGACTATTCAGATTTCCCTCTTACTGGGCGACAACCCACAATCCAAACAGCTTCGAATCAATTGACAATTGGAGCAGCCATGCTCACTTATTCCTCCCTTTTTGAAGCGATAAACGATTGGGAGTGGATGAAACGGCTTTGTTGGGCGATCCAGTCATTGGTCGCAATATTTTATCCGCCTTTCGAGTTTTTGCACTGTCCCATGGGTGATCTGTCCTGCTGCGTTGTTTTGTTTAAACGTTTCTTCCGTCTTCAGTCTGTTTTGCGGTTAGTGCATTTGGTTTCACAGTGCCGTTTATTTAGCTTGCCAGTAAATGTATCTTTTATATCGTGAGCTTGCCCGTTTTTCTTCCCAGTTGACTTGTTCTACGCGCGTTTTGTAACAAGCCAGCTTTGTTTGGCTCTTGAGATGTATTTTGCTTGTGTCACCTACTTTGATTTGTTGCTAAATGAAACAGTTACCCTTCTCGAAATGTGTGTGTATAAATCCGCATCAGACAACCGAAACAAATGGTCCTATCGCGTTTCCAAATACACTGTGCTGATCAATCGAAGGCCGTTCTCGCTGTAGCGCTTTGTGTCATTTACATTGAATTTTGATCCGCTTCTATAGAATTTTCCGTTTACTGTCTCACTAGTGATCATGATGAGTTTATTTTTTCTACGTTCTCTTGCTTCTCCAACGCTGTTGCTGCTTCTGTCATACAGTTGTTCAGTGAAGTCATGTTCAGATCCAGTGGTTGTGACAGGTTTTTCAGCGCGTCCATAGAACCGAATGGTTGCTTCTACACTTGATCATCTCCCAATGCTTATTATTATCTTCTGTGTTATAAACTCTTTCTAGATTCCTTACTTGTTATCAGAGTCGAGTTCTTGTCATCTGTACGATCTTTCTTTACCAGCTTCAACGAAGCATCTGCTACATCAATCATCTACCTGTTCTGGTCTTTCCACATGCAAGACAGCCAGTGAATACCCTGAATCACACACGATTCCATGTTCACATTACTCTTATCGTTACTACGTTAGTTTCAGTGGCTGTCTTTTCCATCGTTCTTGCTCACAATTATTATGCTCGTGTTGGTGTTGGTTTTTATTACGATTCCTTCCTCCAACCGGTTCCGTGTTTGCTCAGCGCACGATCAATTATTCAAATGATGTATGTTTTATTCCTCCTCGCAAAAGATGCGCATGGGTAATAAGGCATGACTGCATGCGCTTGTGTTTATTCGTCGGCGCACGCAGTTGTCTATCCTCCTACCCCACTTCATTCGGACCCGGGAATTGAATATAACGCGTTATTGCTGATTTCGGCAGCGTGAACGACGTCTTACCGCGCAGTCATATTGAGAACAAGTGTAATTCATCTGTGCGCAACCCGTCACGACGTTATTTTCAAGGCTTACTTGCCGATGATGACGCTTTTTCAAATAAGTGCCAAGCGCCAGGCGAACCAATAACACATCGTATACATATGCATTACCGCGACCCCATCTCGTGCGTATTCTTCGTTGTGACACATTTTTGTCATAACAGCCGGCTGAAAACAGAATGTACACACTAGTATCACCCAAACCGACCCTTGGCCAATTTCTGTTGACATGCGATGATCAAACTAGCAAATGAAGAAGTGCTTGACTGATGAACTTTCCCCATTCTTTTTTCTTCGCATAGCAGTTCTGAGAATTTGACAATCATACCCATGAGGATCGTTTCATGCTCGACGTAGATTCGTTGACATAGCAGTCCCATAACTTCGTGCAGCTGAGGACCCGACCAGTTTCTGATCACAAACACTAAGTAGCATGTATTTGTGTCGTTCCACTCGCACCACTCACTTGATGTTCTGGCTGCAATTCTTAGTTTGGCTCCACCAAAATGTTTGTTCGATTAGCTCGCAAATAGCTATCAAAACAGCGCCCAAAATTAGAGCATTTCATTGGGAAGTTAACGGATGTTGAAAGTGCACTGGATCATTCTTATGATTTGGTGTTCTCACTGGCGAGCAATTCTTGCCGTCCTCTTGGCCGACACTTATTCGCAGTATGCTCATATTGTTTTTGTCGAAAAGGCATTAGTTGTTGTAATCTGGACCAATCCACATCCATCCATGCTGAGACGGATAACGCAGTCGTGCTTTGTCACTTGAGAATGCATCGAATTTCTCGCGTTGTAGAAGCGGCATCAGTAAATGATTCCTTGTTTCAAAATTATCCTTTCGATTGTCATTCTCATAAATTCGAATTGCTGTCTTACCTTTTGTTCCTTTTTCAGAGATGATGTGCACTACCAGAATATTTGGGATTGATTTCAACAGTGTCTCATATGGACATCTTTGATAAGCTATCAACTGTACCTTCCACGTCCATGACTATCCAGAGCACTTTTTTGATTTTGTGGAAATTTTGACGAGGGACGTTTGTCTTCTTAAATGATTGTATTACCGCAAGGTGCAAGCTAAGCGCGAGTGACTGAATTCGGCGCCTATCCCGCTCGATCGTTGCCGACCAGACTGTATGCTTGTCTCTTCCCTTTTAGATCTCTGCATGGGACTGGACTGTTTGTGGTTTCATACGAATGCTGGGTTTCTCCGTTCTGTTGGCCTACGTTTCAGTCATTAACTTACCTTGTTACTTTTTCCCTCTATTTCTGTCACCAACGACGTTTCAGGTCGTCACCGAAACCTTCGACAGACGCCCGTTTGGTTTGTTGCCCTGACCCGGTGCGCACAGAGGAGAACTGCTCCTGTTGCGTGTGTCCTACAAAAGCCACATTGGAAAAACGAAATCGAGCTAAACTGGCCGCCCGTTGGGGTCAGCTGGTGGAGAACACGTGCGGAGAGAATGCAATTGAACAAGCCTGTGCTGAACACACTCGAGAGGATCTAATCTATCCCGTTTGTTCTGGCTTGACTACGTTATTGGCACATGAGGAGCGAGATATACGTCGTCAACTGACCGCATGGCAAACTACTGATATACGTGCTAGCGGTCGACATACGAAACTCTCGCGTGCGCGCTTTCCAAGCAATTGGCCGTTAGAATCACCTTGTCGTTGTCGTTGCCCTGAGCGTCACAGGAAACCGGTACCTCCACTATCCCTATGGGAATCGCTGTTCGGTCCATCACCCTCCATTCGTGCTGAGCTTCGTCGATCACCTGTTGCAACCGTAGTGGAACATTTGGGGCGCGTATATCATCCGGCAATCATTACTCTACTGATGCACGCACGGTAGGTGGATAATTTCGGATTTCTATTTCTTATGTAGTGCAGTGTGGTTGAACACTTACCGCGCCAATGTAGAGATTCAATTCTCAGAATGTCTTCTGAATTGTTCGACGCGAACAACTACTTTGTGACCATTATGAATTCAATACCCCGAAATGTGATACTCATACTGATTAATTGGTGTTTTGCGCTTGGAAATGCCATGAATCCATGGGACATGACAATATTTAACTGGACTTCATTCTCGAATTTTTCAGTGAATTCCAAATGATTATTTACTCTACAATAACTCATCAGAATCAAACGCATGATGTCCGAATGAACGGAATTAGACATTATCTTGTATATGTATACGAACTTACAGACACCACGGTTTTTGTAATGCATCCACTGCGCAGCTAAGGGCGATAGGTCACGACTCCCAACCCGACGGCTTGTGGTTCCAGTCCTCCTAAGGACAGACGATAGGACACAATTCTGATGAGTCGCAGCGAGAGCGACTCAGCTTTTCAGTGTTTTTTGGTTATTGCACGATTCCATCGCACAGTGATCAAATGGCTTTCTGAATAACCAAACTAGTTTTAAGCAAAGCTGATTCTTCTTTCACTGTTGCAGTTTGAATACGGAAATGCAAGTTTTTCCACACCGTTTACCAACTTATATTGCACTTGAAATAAATTCAACACAATGTGAGTTTAAACGAAGAATCTCGTTCCAATAGGATACCAGCTCAATTTCATCTCGGAGCTACACACCCATTCTAATGATATCGTATCCAGACGGTGCAAGGTTATCCTCAGTAACTATACTTTTGGGCTAAAATAAAGTCACTCTTTGTGGATGCGCGCGACGATGAATCAGGAATGGGAATAGGTGTAATGAGTCACGAATGAGAAACTGTACTAATCGTTACCCCAGAGAAAACATGATAAAAGGGGTTAGTTGCTTAAAAGCACTTCGGGCCCATTTTATATTTATCACTGACTTCTAGGCAAGCACGGTGCCAAAGCTACAACAATGATAACAATAACAGGGTATACGGGAAGTGGGATACAAAACAGAATGAAACGGAGGTTAAGCAGTTACAATGGATAGCACGAATAACAAAAGAAGTTTTGTGTTTCACCGTACACCTGATATTTTTGTGTGTTAGTTTATCGTTTTTTTTACGGGGCACGGGATTTCCACAGACAGACTGCACAGCATTTTCGCCACTGACTTCTATTCTGAACCATATCTCTCAGCATGTCTAACCAACGAATCCTCATTCCTTGAGCCCCAACGTTTCTTCCAGCATGTGCTAAAAAAGCACGCAAATTTGGACGATGGACAGGCATGCGCAATACGCGGCCAAGCCATCAGAGGTGGTGTAGAGCGATTACTTCTGTTAGAGAGCGATTAGCCACACAACACATGATGACGAACCTCGTCATTGCTCACCCAATGTTTCCACAGACACGAGCAATGCTTGGAAGATATCGGTAGTCGAATACAGAAAGTAGATTGACATCTTTCGCTCCGAGATGGTTCAAAGCACATACCATATCGGGAAATCTCTATCACCAAGGGGTTTGGGCTGCCTGTGTATTGTCACTCAACTAGACGATATTATCTGCATATTTTAAGTCAGGGACTCTTTTGCCTGAGTTGAGTTCTACTCCACCGTTTTTTAGACCGGACAAAACATTCTATAGAACATTCTCCATGACAAATGTGAAAGGGAATTGCAATTTAGGGCAGCTTTGATGAACTCCACTGGAGATGGCGAAAGGTGGCGAAAGCTGATCATAGGCCCTATCCAGACCTGAGGTATGGTCATTTTTATTTTGTATTTTGTTTTCAGCCCAACGCATCTTTTGGAAGGTTTGCGCTACATGGTTGAAAGTAGACGAAACCCGTCTGAAAAGCAATGTGATAAGGTTGACTAGTCACTAGAAAACATTTAGTGCATACCTCAAGTTCACGAAGCATAGGAAATTTGCTTTTGGTGTGTTATCTATTTTATTTCAAGTTTCAACGCTCAATCTTTTATTCAAGTTTTTCAATTGTAGTCCGTTATAATTTTATGGAACATTCCAGGGATTTCACAACTTTGCTGCTCGCGCGCAGGAAGTTAAACTTTTAAACCAGCCTTTTAGACAAACATCTTCGTTCCACTGATCCCCTAGAATGTTTGGACGGTGACCTTTTCTGTCGCGCGTAGACACAGCAGGGAGCTTTTGCCAAAGTGTATTCCTTTCTCTCCTACATTCTTCATCATAAAATAGGAAGGAAGTAGCACTGAAAATATGTAGGGTGCTGTGAATCTCAGTTTGATGAATGTTTGCCAATAGTGGTCCATCTGGAAAATCTGTATTTAATATGATACCAAAATAGTATTAATTCCTTTCGTAGATCGCCGGGAAAAGGTACTTTTTAACAAGGGCTTTTGATATTCGGAAGATTTCGAACAATGTGACAAAGTTTCATCAACATTTTTACCGCAAATTGCATGGAAGATCTGGCTTTGTGGTTGTGTTTTGGGTGATCTTCGATTACAATTTATTGTTCGCATATTTTGAAGCCGTTGGTCAGTGCAAAGCACAGAGGTAATAAAGGTGCAATGATGAAAGTAAATCTATCTCGGTGAACCTCCTGAGAACGTTACTTGATTTTCTATAGTTTTGGCCTATTTTGACTGAGGTATCTCGGTTGCATAGCACTCCCTAATAATCAAACTCTGTCCTTTCNTCCTTTCATTTCGAGCTATTTTTCTTCCTTCTGATTTGTACAAACTCATCGGAGTCCCATCCTTTCTCGTGTAACGGGGATAACTGTGCCTCAGGAACTCCGATGGTGGTCTCAACCTCCCAGGGACTGTGTTGGTTTATGGCGAATTCACGCATTCCGGTAGCGAACTTTACGGGTAGTATATGAAAGTCAACCCACCTCAATGAGCACGAACTTATTCCCGCGCTTACTTGTGTTGTTTATTACCCCCACTGTGGTTTGATTCCGTCGCCAGTTTTCACATTGCCCAATGTGACAGCCCTCTGACCGGCAGTTACATTGTTCCTGACCGCGTTTAACTTCACTGTCGATTGTCGTCTGTCTTTTTTCCAGCTGAGGTTACGCACATGAATCCCTGCTGGTTTTTATGCCCTCAAACAGCTCGATTTCGTTAATATGGTCCGAACCGATTACCATCGCGTCCCTTGAGGTGAATTCTCGGTGGGAATCGACTATCCACTATTTATACGCACAGTCGCATCTCCATGTGGGATGCACTTTGTGTGCATGCGTGGTTTTCTCTCTCTCTTTGTATGCATATACACTCAGGAGTTATGTACGCTTTGCTCTTTGGTATACTGTATCCTGTGCGTCCTTGCATATGGTCCCCTGTCATTATTTGTATGCAAGCAGCTCTTAGTCCAAATTAAATTTCAGCCATGTTGGGCTATTTGCGTGTGGCATATTATTGAAAAGGTTCCTGAATGGCTTAGGTTTTCCTTCCAGTATATTTGGGTGCAATTTCTTATAGAGGGATTGAAAATTTTGAATATTTTACCACGCTACACAGAAACCAGCTGTACCAATCAAGCAGTACGTTCATTCGTGGATCACGCTCTCGAAATTTTGTTTACGATTAAAAGCACTCACGAACACGGTGAACACATTGTTTTGATTGCGTCCATTTTTGATCACATCTATTACAAATGAAAAACTAATCATTTTTTGTTAAAAGAATCAGGTGATTCTGCGGTTCGCGAATGAACAGAGAAATATTAGGTCGTTAGGAGTAAGCGTATGGTGGGTTTTTCTGACGTCATTACTATACTGTATACGATATGATTCCCTTTCAATACGTTTAACTGTTCCATAATAACAATCAAGCCGTGGTGGTCGCCAATACTCCGGAGACCTTATGCATCTAAATGTTCCACTCCAGACTCTCCACAGATCAGTCTTCCGGAAAACTGACTATCATTTGTTGTTCAACAAACCCACTGAAAACACCAAAGTAACGATTATTGATAAAAAGAGTGGTGGGTTGGCACTATCGGTATTCACACGTGATCGACTCGCAGGTTGTAATCCAATCTCACCATGATCTCCCACCTTTTTCTGTGTGCTCTGATAGCCGTGATCTTGTTTATTCCGAGGAATTCTGGTAAGTAGATTGTGATCACCCAACCGGTACTCAGCTGCATCTCACAATGAACGGACGAGGGATCTAAAGGTGTGAAATGGTTTATCAGTGAAGGGCTAGCGTATTTGGATCCCGCTGATTTTTAATCCTGATTCTTGTTGCATTTCTGGACTGAGACNAGGCGTCTCGAGGTTACACTTTCAGTTGCTTTGCCTATTGTAATTTCAGTTGCGACCACTTGACTACTATCAAATGAGGGCTTGTGTTTTGATCGTCCTTTGTCAGTGTAGTCCGATTTTGAACAGTTGGGTCATCACAGTGCAAGAGCTCATGCACGTTTGCTATCGGAGCTTTACCATATTTGTTGCTCTCCGTTCCTTGGTTCCGGTTGCTAGTTTTCTCACTCACGCGGCCAATTTTGAGCGGCCTGCCCTTTTATTTATCCTGTTTCAGTACCGTCTCATAGAAAGTGATAGAATTATAAACTTTCTCATCTCTCTCATTTACATTTTCAGTGATCGAGAACATAATCCATTAGATTTCACCCATCCGGCCATACAAACGTCCATCAGCATAATCACCACCCCACAGCGAGAATTTGATCTAATTCGTCGTTTACGACAACAGGTTACCGACGAGCCTTTAACGATGGACTATCCAGCACATTTGGCTATTAGCATGGGTTCTGACCTTGCCCACGATCCGACTATGGCACATGCTGAACGCACTCACAGTCCAAAGGCACGATCTGACCGTGGTTCAGTAAAATTGCTTCGCCGGAAACAAGTTTTATCCGAGAGTTTTGTGAAAGATTCCAATTCTGCGTTAAACGCTTCCGGTCGACGTCCGCATTCCATTTGGGCCGGAGATTCACAGGTCGTGGAGCCGACCACTGCCACTCAGCTGAGTGCAGTACCCCAAAACCAAACACATACTTCTGGGGCCCAGCAGAAGACGGGATCGGTGCGTCGGGCGGGCCGGAAGGATGAAACTGTCTTGAGCGGTGTAGGACCTCATGGATCAGTGAATCAGCAAATGCTATTCGGTTGGGATGACACAAATGCCCTAATTGCTGGTTATTGGTCTGGCATGGAGACGCCTGGCTACGATTTGAATGGCCCAGATTATTCCGTCGGTACACCAACGGTCAGTCTCTATGGGACAGAAGATGCAGCCACCACGGAGGATCTGGATGATACCGAAGATAACGTTTCCCTATCCAGTATGAATCAATGTGAATATATGGAGAATTTTCTGTCAGCAACCACATCACATGAACAAAGTAACAGAACTTTATTCATGCCAGATCGGCCGCAAAATCTCCCCTTAGCCGTTCCCGAGCTGCTTACAACTTCGGCTACCACTGCAGGCAGTAACGAACAGGGGGTAGGTGGACGTTGTTGACCATTGTTTGGTGATTTTGGAATGTTTTTAATCTTATTCATAGGCTGAGTAGTTTAGAGAACACGTATTATTTGTGGCATGATTGTTATGATCAGTAAACCCGTCAAAAATTGGAAAACAGTTAATTCGGTCTGATG